CTCCCCCCCCCCCCACGTACACGGAGAGAAGGGGTGCAGCGCGTTTGGGGGTGGGAGCAGTTGTGGGGTAAGACAGGGGCCGTGGGAGAGATAGTGATGACTCCGGGTGCGACGTAGAACAAGGAGGATGTGGAGACGTGGGCTGTGTCAGGGGGCAGAAGCCAGGGAGTCTGTGTTGAAAATGGGGGATTGTCTATGTGTGTGAGTAACCACACTAGGTGTGTGTGTGGGTTACATGTGCATGGGGAGGGGCAGTAAAAGGGAAAGACGTGACAGCCCTGGAGTGAAAGATAGTGATGACTCCGGGTGCGACGTAGAACAAGGAGGATGTGGAGACGTGGGCTGTGTCAGGGGGCAGAAGCCAGGGAGTCTGTGTTGAAAATGGGGGATTGTCTATGTGTGTGAGTAACCACACTAGGTGTGTGTGTGGGTTACATGTGCATGGGGAGGGGCAGTAAAAGGGAAAGACGTGACAGCCCTGGAGTGAAAGTCAGGGTTAGGTTTGCCAACTTTCCTGACCAAACCGAACAATTGTCATTCTCTCTTCACTGCAAGTTGGCATCTGGTCTGCCAAATAAGGCAGTACAGAGCAGTAGTAGCCGATTGAGGAGAATCTTTGTGAAAGTGCGGGTTAGTGATGGGGGGGCGGGAGAGCTGGATTGTGATAGCCTTTGTGGTAACATCTTTATGTGTGTCTCAGTAGCCTTTTCTCCCTGCAAAAGATGCCACCATGAACAATTTTCTTCCCACATGCTCCTCCTCCTGATTTTACTGTTTCACTTGCTGCCACGAGAGACAGAGAGGCAAAGAGAGAAATGGGCTAAAGAAACTAACTTAAAATTGTTAACAGTATTGTAGAAAATGAAGCTTTCAGAAAATGTATTTATGAAACATAACATTGGGTGGAGGAAGGAGGTGGTGATAAGGAGATGCAGGTGCAACTCCACTGACTGCTACATCTGGGCTTATGACTCATAAGTACGCAAATTAAGCAATTCCATTCAGGGCTCCAAGCAGGCCATGATTGTTTAAACAAAAAAGACAAAATTAGCAAATAACCCCTCCCACATAAGTACAGCAAATTCAAGAGTATTCTGGGTGTATTGATGGTAGCCCAGTTTGTTCTCTATGGGCTGAGTAAAGGCCTCAATTAAGTGTGGTTTTAACTATTTTGTTTTTCAATAAGTATTTTCATGCCTATGCCAGCAGTACAGTATTTTCAACCACAAGGGGCCCACAGATATGTTCGGTGAGATGGCCACAAAAGGTTAATGTGGTCCTGACTAAATAGAATACATATACCTGCTCACCATCCCCACTTGCATAATAAGCCTAGCAAATGCAAGCTTGCATGGGGCTATTTTTGCCACCTTACTTGACTCTGAGTTCATAGATCATCATGATCTGGCCAATAGAGTGCCATCTTCATTTGTCACAGAAATGGGAAAATTCCAACTTTGAGTAGTAAAAAGGAAAATCATGTAGGGATTATTACCTGATTCATTTAATGAAATATGCACCTACCTTGTGGAGTAAAATTAGTAGATTCAAAGTAAAAGGTACACTTAATGGACAAATCTTAGCAGTGCACATTATTTACATACCAAATATTTAATTCAGAGTTTGTTTTTTGCATTAAGTTTTTTGAAATAACATAAATCTGTGACTTATCTTTCCACTTAAATTTTAGGACTATATTGAAGAAACCATGGATGCTCAACAGGATTTCCTTAGCAGACCGACTTGCAATGGAATTGCTGTTCCTGATAAGAAAATCAACTCCTTAGTAGCTGAAGATCATGGTCAGCAAATTCTAAATGTGCTGCAAAGTTTCAGAGAACAGAATATATTTTTTGATTTTAAAATACTTGTGAAAGATGAAATAATCCCCTGTCATCGTTGTGTACTAGCAGCATGCAGTGACTTTTTCAGGTAAACCTACTTCTACTGTAGCTTTTCAGAGAATGCATATTTTTAAATTATTGGTGGGAAAATATACACAAAAATTTAAGATAAATCAAAGAGACAGATATACGCTCAACATTTTGGTTAGAGTAATCACTCATAGTAATTTGAAATCCAATCATGCATATTACTAAAAAAATGAAGTGACCCTTTGCCTGTCGTGGACTTAACATTCTAAAATGTAAATGTAGAATCCTAATTAAATATTGTGCACTGGTAAGACTGTGAATGTCTTCTGTTTCTGTATCTGAATGTCCACAGCATAAAATATGGATTGACTTAACATGGGGAGGACAAAACACTGTCTCATACAAGTGGATCATTAATATATTTATTTTTATATATTTTCCATAACATTGTTGAATAAACTACATAAGAGCTTTCTCAGATAAGTAGACTGACTGATAGTTAAAGGATTTTTATAGGTAAGCACATGAAAAACAAAATTTTGATAATGGACTCTTCAATTTGGCAAACAAAACTACCAAAATCCAGTGGATTGAAATTGAAAGCAAACACATTCAGACTGGAAATAAGATGCACATTTGTAACTGTCAAGCTAATTTGCCACTGGAACAACTTACCAAGGGTTTTGGTGATTTTTTTTTTTTTATCATTGGCTAATTTTTAAAATCCAGATTGGATGTTTTTCTAAAAGATATGCATTAGTTCAAATAAGACTTGCATGATAAGCTTAGCAAATGCTAGGTTGCCAGGGGCTATTTTTGCCCTCTGTTATGCAGGATGGCTTATGAGATGATCACAGTGGTCCCTTCTGACCTTATGATCTATGAACGAATCTATAAGTGCCATAAGAGTGACTGAAAAAATTCCTACCATTTTTCACAAACTTCAACTAAATGCAAAATCTAGCCTCAAATGTTTGGATTTGTGACCTTCCCTGTGGTACTTGGAACCATGAATTAACTCTTATGGAACTCTTATGCATGGGATGTAATCCTTTCAATTATAATATGGATAAACTTCATTTTGATAAGATCCTGGCTAACGTTTGCTTCAGTAAGGCACAAAACATACAAATCTACACTGAAAACAGATTTCTAGGTTTACTGTTCTGTGAGGCAGAAAATTGTAATACTTCTGTTGTTACGAAAAGCAAAACTAGTACAAATGAGATTCCGTTTCTCCAAGAGAGATGGTAGCTGTGGCAACAAGATAAACATTCCCATCAGTAGAGCATAGTCTACATTGGGGTTTAGGTTTGTTTAACTATGTTGCTTAGGGTATAGATTTTTCACACCCCTGATCAATGTTGTTATACCAATGTAAATTTCTAGTGGTAGACATGGCTTCTGTGATAGAAAGGAGCAACACTAAATATCTTAGACTTTCACAGTTTTATTTAGAACCTAAGAGTAACAGGGAGTTGACATAGCAAAGTGTGGATCCACTATTTAGCAGTGAAGAAGAGCTAATAATGGACTACAACAGCTGAGATGTTTAATAACTTTTTTTAGTAATGACTGAAGCAAAAGTGTATTTTGACCAGATGCTTAACACAATATTAACAAGGGAGAAAGAACACAAGCCAGAATAG